GGATACGTGTGTGTATAGATTCGATGGAAAAGCAATTAGACACATTAGGGTAGCTTGATATAATGACATTTTTATTTACGGAAACTACATTCATCTAATTAAAATCACTTATCCGTATATAAACATTACAAACAAATTGTAATTTAACCGCATCATCAAATTTTCCAATCGAATGCGTTTCGTTTCGATTAACATCGTTGAATTTATAAATCGATCAAGCGTACCTATCTATTACGATTACGAATGCAAAAACTTTGCAGCTGTTCCATGCGGTGGCATTGTAAGGACGTTGCCTTGATCTGGTCCAGGGTCGGACTGGAATGTTGTGGGGACCTGAGCTAGCACTGCTAAGAGCTGCAAGTCCCTAAGTCCTGTATGTAATGGCAGAAATAATATAAAAAACCAAACATGCTAAAAATGTTTGAGGGTGTACAGGTTCTACTTGATTTTAGGTCGAGATATTTAGATTTTATCTGTCTTATCTATGTATTTATTTATTTTCTAGTTATATTATGGTCTTAATAGTTTTATGCCAAACTTTTTGTATAAGCCCTAAGAGATATTCACACCATAGGTATGAGTACATTACTCTTGTACCTATAAATTGATCTGTGTTAAGTCTCCTTGGATTGCATGTGAATTTTGTTTCCTATTTTCCTTCGAGGCTGGGCTGCAGCTTAAAAAAGCTTATACGTAAATCCGTCCCTGAACTGATCGCATTCCGTTATTTTTATTTTATTTAGAAATTATGCAAGATAATATAGCGTGTCACCGACCCTGCTCGATGGTAGATGGTACCAGTTTGGCAGCCTAATAGCAAAGGGTCCTATCCGTACAACTGTGAACACATGAATTGCTACCTTATTTTTAACACACTATAAATAATTATCGTTTGATCCAGAAAATGGGCACTAAGATACTTCGACTACTAGACTTGAAAATATTCTGCTTTACCTTGGTCGGTTGCCTTTTTTTGTTGTTGAAAGTGAGGTCGTGTTAATTCCTTTTACATAGTAAACTTGTATAGATTAATGGATTCTCGTTCATCTGATATATAAAATGTATGCAATGACGATGGGTTCAATAAAAAAGTACTGGTTGATGATTTCAAAGCACACGATGTTGAGTTAGGTCATGAATTTTAAGACCTTGAAGCGAGCGTCAAAAGAACTAAGTAAACATATTATTACTAATAATAATATTGTTATAACTTTGGTCCCTCTAATTGAATATCTAGAGGTCGCTAACACGACTGACAAGCAAGCAACCAGGGATCGGTACAAGGATCATGAAATATTGTTGAGTTTTGATTTTCGCACAGCTTAACTGCTTGAATGCACCGATATGAGATACAATAGAAAATACATAGTGTCTCGCATGGATCCACGTTTAGACACACGACGGGTTAATAGTAGCACGGCGTTTATGACTTATGACTATAGACCAGCCTATATTATTACATGGTGCGAAGTATAAACTGCCTAAATAATAATATGGCATGAAATAAGAAAATATTGAAAAACAAAACAGCCTGTACTTGTAAGTCCTACGTCAGAATATAGTCACTAAACACAAGCTAATTATATAAGAAGAGTAGCGTAAACTTCCTAAGTGCGACAATTCATACGACGTAGATGAATTATTCGCGGTTGGGCAAAAGACAATGCTGATGTCAAGATGGATGAGTCAAGGACTGTTTCGGTCCGTCGCACACCCGTTTTATGGTGGCACAGACAGATTGTATGAACATTATACACTACATAGTTGTGTATGGGAATTTCCTGCAGTTTTTATGGTCAAAGTGATCTTTTGTGGCAAATTAACTGCAAATAAAAGATATTGCTCGCTAAACGGATGTCTGGTGGATACAAAATGTTTAAGTATTTTTAGTATTGTCATTCTTTGGTAAGTATTAAGTGTAAAAAAAAACGAAAATATATAGATGGAATGACAACAGTAACAGATCTAAAGTGTGGGAGAGCCATGCTTCGACATGAAGGCCGGCTCGACCGGAGTGATACCACGGCCTCACAGAAGACCGACGTGAAACAACGTTGTGTTGTGTTTCATCGTGTGAGTGAGGTTACCGGAGGCCCAATTACCCTCCCCCCCTTTCCCCAATCCCTGAATCCCCAACAATCCTCAAATTCCTAATCCAGAAGGCCGGTAACGCACTTGTAACGCCTCTGGTATTCCAGGTGTCCGTCGGCTCGTTAACCGGCTTATCCCATAAAAAAAACTAGCGATGCAAAAATCGAATTATTATTTAGGTACTGTTTTCCTCTTAACGAAAACCGACATCCGATAATTTTCTGTAACAGCATTTCTCCTGTACTTGTTATAGGTACTCTTTGAAGAGTATAAACATTGGAACAAGCCAGTAATTTCGCTTAAGTAAATTTGAGTACTGGATTATACTCTTTTTACCTTTTTACACAGAGAAGTATGTTTGTTTGTATGATTACATTATGTAAAGATTTCTCCACACAACATATTTTCCTTCACAATATTTGAAACTGAGTGAGGTCTCATTTTAATAAAAACTATGATTATCTTTTCAAAATTCACCATTAAACCGCATTATCAAGGACGTTGAAAAACATTCGTAAGTTGATCCATGAGATTTTATTCTTCTCGCTGTTCTCAAGAGGTTTTTGCATCACTATAATTTTGACTATAACCTCCTAAGTTTTTACCATAATCAATCATCTATCATGTCTACAAAAAAATAAGCGTTGTCATCGAGAGATTTGACAATAGCGATACTTCAAAAGAATTTTGCGAGAGTTTTGTTGATTGTTTACAATTCTCGATTTTTTTAAATGGCTTGTACTAATTGGGAAATCAAAGTCTGATTAGTTTTTAACATTTATTCTGTGGAAAAATCATTTTAAAAATCACAACAGTTGTTTATTTTCTGTAAGGTAATTCAAAGCATATCTTATACTATATAAGGCTACGGACTCACGACGCGATTGTCACCTGCCGCGGTGGTGAAATGGAGTTTTATTTTCAAAACCCACGAGACTTGGCGGTTTATTATTGCAAGACGGGCGGCGGTTAAACCATCAGAGGTCCTGACAGGCCCTGGTGACCGGCCCGACCGGCACCGGCGGATTGTACCCGCAAATAATGCAGCGGGAACCGCAAATAATCGCTCCCACTGCGGGAGTAAAACGCGTCGTAAAATGAGCTTTATTTTTTACAAACATAGGTATTTGTATTCTACAAAGGCTGCAGGCCCGCAACAGCGACTGACGCGGGAGAAAATCACTTCGTGAGTCTTTAAAACGTCGTTACGACTCTTTGTAGCCCAGATCAGTGATAAGTAGGTATAGCGAATCCATTTTACCAAAATTATGATGTAGTTTTTAACAAAGATACCCAGAGCTTGAATCGGAATACTTCTAAGTACCGATACATTAAAAGCGTCATATTATATTGCAAGGGATAAATCTGTGATTGAACGTAGAATCTTTACTTCAAGGATCGTGCATGCGATCGTTTGAAAAATGGTACTGAGTTCTTGTTTATTTTGGCCAATAACAGAGGTTAAATTCAGTATGAGGTAATCTTCTTCATTCATTAATCAGTTTGAAATAGGTAACTGACCAAAGGCCTTTTTGAAGGTCATAACATTTAAAATAACCAAGCGCATGGGCCTATTCTTTTTTGTTAAGAAGTGAATAATATAATGTATTAAAGTCAGTCATATTTTTCTGTTTTGTTATAACACCCAAAGAGTCTTAAATAAATGAATTGATTAATATATAGAACATTATCGTAAACAAATACTTTCACAAGGATGTAATTCAATGTAATGATTAATTTTATATAGTCACCTATATCGATTTAATTTAAGATGGTCCAAAAATAACTGAACAAGTCTTGTGAAGAGAAAGCAGTATTATCATAAACTAAAAATTAAAGAACTTGCAGAGTTGCACTAACAGCATAATAATATTACTACTAGCTACTTGCGCGTGGTTTCATCAGCTCATGCTCGGCCCCTCTTGATTGTAGCGCGATGCTATATAGCCTATAACCTTCCTCGATAAATGGACTATCCAACACCAAAACATTTTTTCAAATCGGATCAATAGTTACTGAGATTGGCGCGTTCAAACGAACAAAATCTTCAGCTTTATGTTATAAATGTAGGATTGAGAGAGACTTATTTAATGAATTAAGTTTATACGATAAAGTCCCGAAAACGCAACGACTCCGCCCCTCTAGGGACCCCGGCATGGCTTGAAGTTAGTCGAGTAATTTAAATCTTGCAATAGAATTGCTTTTTTGTCATGAATGTTGATGAAAACTAATTCAGTTTATTTGATACCTAACATAAGCTTTTACAACTAAACCGGTAAAGATTTGTATCTGTTGAAAGGCAGGATATAATAAACCAACTATTAGATAAAACCAAGTCGTAAACTAGTATAGCATAAACCATTGTATTATCTTCTAAGTACTCTTAATGACGACAAACGGAGATCGTATCAGAATACATCCACTCCACGTGTAGCTTATGCATTTTGTGGTTACATTATTATCCAAGTAGTTGAATACATCAACATCGATAACTGGTGGGAGTTCACTGTTGACTATGGGCCTCCTCCGCATAAGAGGAGAGCCATGCTTCGGCACGAATGGGCCGGCTCAACCGAAGTGGAACCACGGCCTCACAAAAAACCGATGTGAAACAACATTAGCGTTGTGTTTCGTCGTGTGAGTGTGGTTACCGGAGGCCCATCTCCCCAATCCCCAAATCGCCAACAAACCTCAAATTCCCAATCTCCAAAAGGCCGGTAACGCACTTGGTGTTCGGGTGTCTATTGCTTACCATCAGATGATCCGTCTGCTTGTTAGCTGGCTTATTTCATAAAAGAAGAGGAGATACCTACCTAGTTTCCTTTTAACCTACTACTTACTGATCTGACAATTTGATTGTGTCTTCGAATCTTTTTTCTAATATTGTATCATTTCTATTTTCACAGACGATGTTAAAAATCGGGGGCGGAGCCCTGCTAGTGGCGGCCATAGTTGCGGTCTTCGTGGTCGCCACTCAAGGCCGTGACCCTGACCTTGAGGCCTTGGAGCTTGAGGGTCGGGAGTACATCTTCCAACTCGACAAGTCCGCGGGCGCAAGGAAGAACAAAGTCGGCATCTTCGAGTGGGACTACTACAGCAATATCACAAAGGAAAATGAAGAGAAATGGGTATGTTGGTTCTTGGCACAATAGCAAGTTACGCTGTTCAGGTATTATCAGTGGCCTTAGCATAATAGTAAGCGGCCTGGAATTAAGCCTATAGTTTGGTAATTGACTGAGACTTAGTTAAAACTGGCAAAACGGTGTCCCTATAGTCCGATGTTAGTCATAAAGTTGAAAATCTCTGTTAAAGGTATGAAATAGTTATATCTTTATCCACATTGAGCTATGCCGTATATAAAAAGGAATCCATCGCTCCATCATAACACCGCTAACTTCCACAAACTTATAATCAGGCAACCGGTATTTCCAGTAATATAAACAATAAGAGAAAGTGAGTGACCCACATCTGCGACAACGTTCGGTAGCCGATATTAAAAAGGCAAATAAAAATTAATTGATATTTTTTGTCCATACCAACAAATCTGTGTCATTATGAGTTAATTTTAAACCAGATTGTACAGACTTAGAACATTAAATAAAAAAGTAAAGTTTGCAGTAACAAGTAAGGATGCTGAGAATTGAGATGTACTAAACAGATTAAAACGTCTACGACAAGTAACCTATTTGAGGAAGAAAAAGGCTTGACTGCATCATATTTAGAATGGAGTAATTTCTCATACAATTTCCGTAACAATATTTCAGATACAAGCCCGTATAGAACAGTCCCAACAAGAAAAGCGAGCGTGGGAGGAGACGAAGATGTACAGGTGGCAAGACTTCCAGGACTTCACTCTTCGGAGAATGTTCAAGAAGTACAGCAAGCTTGGAGTATCAGCATTACCTGATGAGAAGTACAAACAATTGATGAAGTTGATCGCGGACATGGAATCTAACTACGCAACCGCCAAGATTTGCGAGTACAAGGATCGCTCTAAATGCAATTTGTCTTTGGAACCAGGTAGGATTATGTAACTTTAACAATCTTTGAGTTTGGGACAGTTTAAATAGAATAGACTAAAAAAAATATGATTTAACATAATAAAGGAGGTGAGAAGTGACTGCTTCATACTCTGCAGTACTCAAATCATCACATATTATATCTACACTTAATTTTTCTTTAATTTCAACTAATCTGTTCAGTGAAATTTGAGGTTATTGGAAACAGTAAGACAAAATAGATAAAGTAGGACTCACGATCACAAGAATACGACTATTGTAGCGTAATTCCATTTTTATTCAAGAAGGAATGATTAGGAGACATACTATAGACATACATAGTTTTGATGACAAATGAACTCATAGACGTATTAACTGTTACAGAAATCACAGACCTGTTCGCGAAGTCTCAAGATCCTGAAGAGTTGAAGCACCTTTGGGTGGAGTGGCACAAGGAGGCGGGGGCGAAGGCAAGGAACAACTTCACTGAATATGTAGGCTTGTACAATGAGGCTGCTAAACTTAATGGTAAGGAATAACAGAAAATGGATAGGAAAAGTTGTTAGCAAGTCCACCCGGTTCTAACTAATGTAAACGATTTTTATTTTTAGTATTTTAGTATTGTGGTTGAAAATTCATTTTCAACTTTAGTATTTCGCTATTAAATCTAGAAGGTTGATATGCTGGCGTATATACATATATGTTTAACAAATTGAAATAAAATTGCTCATTGTTAGTCAATAAACATGTACAAATTCAGCTATAACAAAATATTTAAAAACCTTTTCCTTTTATGTTTACAAGTTAAATCAATAAGTGTTAAATTATTTATAACACTGTTTCTGAGAATCATATACCATGACGTCATTACTGATATAATACCCGATTCTATGGAATTTTGTGACCAGTTTTCTACAGTTTTTTTATTAGCTCCGGACTGCTAGACTGTTCTGTAAGATGTCAATTCGAACTCTCGAAGTGAATCGCGGTCCACCTTGTCATTGGTTATGAAATTTATCTCGTATAAACATTAAATTATACATGCATTATTGCAGTTTAATGCCACATTCCACATAGTATAATGATTATTCTGCAGTTAGTAGTAGGTACTTGATATTTAATATGCATTTTATTTGCGTTTAACAGGTTTGGCTAGCTTTTCAGTTAAAAAGTAATGTCTCAATACTCAGAGAGGTTTACACTTATTTTTTTGTTGTTATTCTACAAAGAAACAAACAAATGTAAAAAGGCTGAGTCGCAAATATTAATTTACTCTGATGACTTCCAAATTCCAGATTACAAAGACGTAGCTGATTGGTGGCAATCAGAGTATGAAGCAGATGCGGACAACTTTGAGCAGCAACTGGCCAAGATCTGGGAGGACGTGAAGCCACTGTATCAGCAGTTGCACGCGTACGTGAGGAAACGTCTGCGAGACAAGTACGGAGACCACATCGTGTCTGCTCGAGGACCCATCCCTGCACATTTGTTAGGTAAGCACGTTGAAGAAAATTCATAAGAATAATGATTGTCTTCTGCAACAAGTCATGTTTAGCATCATTAATAACCTATTTCCATCTACTGCTCGACATAGGCATATTTTACGAGTGCTCAAATACTCAAACGTCACTTAATTTTAATTGTGTCTATAATGACGGTACTCAAAGAGTTAAAGAACAATAGGTGTGTGGACACCGGTGTCCTCGCGGTGTTTGGCAGTTTAAGACGCTCTTAAAAATAGTTTGTCACTACAAATTCTTTGTAAAACGACAGAGATAGCAAAGTATTTAAGTATTACATAAAATTGAGTAGCGTTTCAGTACTCAGTCGTTAGTTTTACTTATGCTATTAGCTTGTTTCACTCCACATTTACGAAAAACATTGTCCATTTAAATTCCAGGCAACATGTGGGCTCAAAGCTGGAACAATATTCAATCATTCACCCGCCCTTACCCAGACAAGAAGGAAATCGACATCACACAATCAATGAAGAGTCAGAACTACACTGCATTGAAAATGTTCCAAATGTCTGATGAATTCTTTAGGTCTTTAAACCTGAGTGCCATGCCTTCAAAGTTCTGGAAGAACTCCATCATTGAGAAACCTACTGATAGGGAAATAGTCTGCCATGCGTCCGCTTGGGACTTCTATGATGGTGAAGACTTCAGGTAACATACAAACAGGATTGCAATTGCACTAAAGAGCTTTCTTATTTTTTGAAGTGGGAAAAACATAGAATGAACTTCTCCCACATTAGGTGGAAAGATGAAATGTGACTAAAATCACTCCATTCCTACTCCTGCTTAGAATCGGAGCCCCGGTAACCCGTTAGGTTGTCCGCAGCTTCGGTGAATTAAAGAGCTAAAGTAAAATGTTTAATACTATGGTCTTTCAATAAATATTTATTGTCATTTAATAGCACAGCTTTTTCAAATGCTGGGTCTTCTTACAAAATGCTTAAGATCTGTCACAAAATACCATTTTCTATTGCTTTAAACCCTTATACAATATGGCAGTAAAATAATCTAAATTTGGATATATTTATTTCTTTACTTCTTACCAAAATCCTTGTGTCAACTATATCACATAATTCGGTCTCCATCAACGTATTCAGCACAAGGAATATGGTAACATATTCTTGGTATAACCACATCAAAGTGTACTAAAATTCAAAATTTCTACTAACTTTTTTGGCTTACTTTTGAAGGATCAAACAGTGCACGACAATCGATTACGAGTACTTTCAAACCACTCATCATGAAATGGGACATATTCAATATTATCTTCAGTATAGAAATCAGCCGTTCGTTTTCCGGGATGGAGCAAACCCAGGTAATTAATGCTTGTCTGTTATACCAGGATCAAAATGTGTTCATCGGTCACCAGAGAAAATTTTAAAACAGTCCACCATGAAATGGGTCATATCCAATATTACTTGCTGTATAGCCACCTCCCCATCGTGTTCCGAGAGGGGGCCAATCCAGGTACCGATTTGTGATTTGGGAAATATTTTGTATCTGTCCATGTGTGAACATTTATTTCTTTTCCGTTCAAAAATTTGAGGAATCTGTACTTCTCGGCTTCTCATTTAGAATAGATTCATTTACAATATTAATATACGTATTTATGAATTCTATTTATTAGATTTTTTCCTATTAAGTCTTTAAAATTGTATAAGTACCTATGTATTTGACAGAGGGGGTTGTTGCCTTACCTGGTTTCATTAAAATCCGCTGCAACTGGGTCTTCTCTTTTGCTTTTCATGCTTCAAGATAGGTTAAAAATTATGTGAACGTCAAAAGATTTTCTACATAACTATTTGTTGAAGATTAAAAAATGATAAAAAGTGTGACCTATGATGGGTGTGAATGGGAAAAATACATATTGCGGCCGATTTCTTGTAACGCAGCCAGGTGATATTTGTGTCCTAATTTAGTTTGCCAATGTTTCAGGTTTCCATGAAGCTGTAGGAGATACGATTGCTTTATCAGTGTCCTCTCCTAAACATCTCAGACGAGTTGGGTTAACCACCGGAGACGCTGAAGACGAACAAACTGAAATAAACCAGCTTTACAAAATGGTTTGTTACTTTCTGTTTAAGTATTTTTATGAACGAAATTAGTAGGATATTTAGATCCTTTTTTAACTGGACATTTCCAAAACTAGCAAAGAATAATACTGTGCCAATGAAACCATAACATTAAACACATAGATATTATAAACAACTTCTATTTGTGTATTTTCAGGGTCTAGACAAGATAGTATTCCTGCCTTTTGCATACGCCATCGACCAATTTCGTTATGGAGTATTCCGTGGCTCTACTACTCCTGAGGATTATAACTGTCACTACTGGAAACTTAGAGAATCTCTTCAGGGCTTGGAACCACCAGTTAACAGGACTGAAGAAGATTTTGATGCGGCTGCCAAATATCATGTATCCGCTAATGTGGAATACGCAAGGTGAATTTTCATTTGCTGCTGGACGTATGCATCTCAAGGCATAGATGTGCAACTATTGCTAACCAATTTTAGAACATCAACTGTCCTTGTTGATGAAGGGCATCACGCCACATTTGCTTTGGTGTTATTTTAACTAACCCGCAAGGTAGCGGTCCCTACTTTTAGGCATAATCTGTTGAAAATGTTTAGAAGAGACTTATATAGGTGACAGAATTTATTCCTTGCTCTTTCAAAAATTACATTTTTCTAAATATTATCTTCTCAAATATATTTTAGACCGACTCAAACCTGGATGTCCGATAGGGATTTAAATCGTTGGTCAATTTATTATTTAATAGTAGTCAATTTACGGTGCACATCTATCTCCTAACAATATATGCACTACCCAAAGGATGCGTGGCAGAGAATGCTGTTAGCATTAAGTGTTCCTTATGCAATTGTATAAAACTTTATGACATGTTTCTTAACTTTCTTTTCCTCTTTTCAGATACTACGTATCCTTTATAATCCAGTTCCAGTTCCACCGCGCTCTCTGCCAGCTCGCTGGGGAGTATGTTCCTGAAGACCTCAACAAAAAACTCGTAGACTGCGATATCTACCAGAGCATAGCTGCTGGAAATGCTTTCGCGTAAGTTTACTGAGAGATACTAAAAATTGATCATGATAAGACTTGATTATACCCCCGAAGGGATTGACAAAGGTGCAAATTACGGCACTTAATGCCACTGTACAATGTTACACCCACTTTTTACTATTTATATTATAAGTCCCATGTAATGAATACTGTTAAGTCAAATTAACTCGTCGAGTACCGGTTTTATAGACACAATTAAAGAACAATAGGTCGCGGTCACCGGTGACCGCTTGGTGTTTGACAGTTTAAATTCTAGAAGAATACTGTCTTTTCTAGTTTGAATTTCTTTCATTATTTATTTATTTAAACTGTCAAACACCGCGAGGACACCGGTGACCGTAACCTTTTGTTCTTTAATCTGTCAAACACCGAGCGGTCACCGGTGACCGCGACCTATTGTTCTTTAATTGTGTCTATAAAACCGGTACTCGACGAGTTAATTGTGTCTATAGAGGTAATGACGGTACTCAAAGAGTTAAAGCGGGTTTTGTAAACACCCATGTGTTAATGCCACATTTCTGTTTCTTGTCATGTCAGGCATCATTTACCAATAATATTATTTATGTATTACAGTAATATGCTCAAGATGGGTTCCTCAAAGCCTTGGCCTGATGCAATGGAAGTCCTGACCGGTCAGCGAAGTATGAAGGCTGATGGACTCCTGGAGTACTTCAGACCTCTATACGAGTGGTTACAAGCAGAGAACCAACGGACTGGCGAATACATCGGATGGGAACCTAGTAAAATGCGTAAGTATTGTGTTAGACTGTTTATAAGACTATAGTAGCCCCCGAATACTGAAAAGTTAAGGGCCGATTTTTCAATCCCCAGTTTATTATTAACTGTAGAATAAAATTGACATTTGACAGGTTTTAGTATGAAAGAAATATTAAATATTCAAAGTTATTGCTCAGTTAAAATTTATCTGGAATTGAAAATATAGGCCCTAATGCACTATTCAATGACGAATACCAACAGAGCCCTCTGATGAACCTAAACCTTATAAACCTACTTTCCAAATGTGTTATTTAGAGGAACCTCATAACCAACCCATACCCAGCAGAGGTCTATAGATATTTTGATACATTTGAACATACCTAATGTATTTAAATTAATGATTACAGAATATTGCACAGCCGAGCAGCGAGCCGCGTTAAGTGCGAAGGAGACGTCGAAGCCAGAAACACAACAGCCAGCAGAGTCGTGACGCGTTGAGTACTTACTACACTTAGTCTAATTTATAGCAGACAAGCAACACAGTATTCATAATAAACGTTTTTATAAGGAACATTTTATTTTCATTTCAACCCTTCGTGTAAACGAGTCTATGCTCCATTTCATGGGAATTCTTTAGTAAGTACTACATGTAAATCATGAATGGACGTCTGCAACTATGCCGAACAGCTTGTCTACTCTGTGACTATCACAGCTATTCGAACTTTCAAAGTGAGGTCTATCGCATTCTCGCCCGTCATTGGTCGAAATTATTCTCACTACCAATGACGTGGCGGACCGCGATCGAGTTCACTCCGATCTTTTGAATTCAAAATTGCGGAATACTCTAGCTGTGTATTAAAATGTGTCAAATCAAATATCAGAGTTTTTATTACATCGAAAATGTAGTATGTAGTTATTAAATGCACAGCCAAATGTTCTAAATGCAGTTAAACGGCGGTAGAAGTCATTCGAAGATTTTTTCTCTCTTAAAAAAGCTTACAAAGTAACAGTTTATTTCTGTCATTCATGATGAGGATTTCAGAAATCTGAAAGTCAAATGATATACCTAATAGTTAGAAAATAATTATAATCACATAACGTGTCCTCTGCTTTGATAGTTGCCAGGGAATGAAAATTAGTTGAGTCAGTTAGGTAATGAAAAAATATTAGACCCGTATTTTTTATTTTCTTGTATAAAGTAGCAATATTTAGACAAAATGGAGTTAAGTTTAGTAGGGAGTAGGGGTCGTTATGTCACAACGTTTTGTAGCACTTTGTGACGTCACACGATGTTACAAATTAATAGGTATATCATCGTATTAATTTTGTGAGAAATGAAAAAATACGTGCCTAATAATTTAAATTAATCTACCAGACAGACTTTAAAATAAAATATAGGAAACTACCCTATGATACTTGATAAAAATAGTTTTGTAGGTTCATGAATCATAGGTATCTGATGTTCTATTGATTGAAATGTAGGTACAAAATAGATAAACGTGTGGTACGTGCCTTTTACGAAAATCCTAAAGAGATCAAATTCTATACTGATAATAATAAAGATGACTGGAGATTTCTTTATCTTTCAGATAAACCCAGATAAAAATGTTATCTGATTTTATCTAGAAAGTAAAGTCATAAATATTGAATAAGAGGAATCTCATGTTTTAGAATTTATTCTTCAATTTGAATTATGTGTACATAACAGCAAAAAAAAACAAATCGTAGCATGCTCATCACATTTCGTATGTCGTCGTATAATCTGTATGTCGTGGTGGCCCGGAGGTTTAAGACGCCCTCCCGCTTCTCATGCATGAGGGTGCTTGTTCAAAACATACCAATAGAAAGTACCTACCAATGTGACTTTTTTCAAGTTATTAGTACTTTTCTAGATTATTTAAACACCACTCACTGACAAACTGAAGGAAAACATCGTGAGGTAACCTGGACTTATAATTTCTACCGCCAACTCGCATTGAGCAAGCGTGGTGATTAATGCTCAAACCTTCTCCGTGTAAGAAGAGGTCTTTGGTAAGCAGTGGCCACTAGTAGGGTGTTAATGTCAGTAGTGTCTAGATAATATTAGAAAGTGCATATAACTCAGAAAAAGTCACATTGTTACTTGCCGTAGGTGAGTTTTGAACACGCACCCTCATGCATAGGCCACAACGACACAACTATATTTATCTAATACTAACTTTGCTAACGGCTTCGTAAACGAAAACAAAAAGCAATAGCATGCTCATAAATTGTTAGGAACAAAATCAGAGCTACAAATACCACGCAACAAGGTTTGGTCTACTAGTGAGAAAATCTAAGGAACGAAATCTTAAAGCAATGAATTCGAAAATTGAAGATAAATTGAAAACAAAACCAATCTTGCTTTTCCACCAGAGATGTGTTATCTAAACTGTGAAACTACGTGCCCATTTCCACTGATACTAAGCTATATAGCGGTGTGGGTAAGATATGCTATGAAGATGCGCCGCTGCAAAGTAGCTGCGCGTGGAAGATGCCCAACTCGAGCTATGCGATGTATCAATAATAGAGAAGCGGTGAGGTCCATAGCACACATTCATAGCACGCATCCTTGCATACAAAAAGCATATCTTAGTTGAATGAATATGATTGGTTGATACTAAACGCATCTACAATAACGTAGCATCAGCGTCTCAGTCACCATTATCCTCAGATTGCACCCGGGAGAGCATAATACGACTTGCAAACAACGTCAGAGCTTATTAAATCAATAAAGACAATGACTTTAAAGTCCTATTCGTGTTTGCGTAGTGACAGGTCATTCATCGTCAAGTACAAGGTAATGACAATAGAAGTAAATAAACACCGGACATTATTTGGTTTTCTATACGCGTACAGATTTGAGGAAAATCCTAGGAATACTCAAACAGAATACATTTACAACACAGTCAATGACATGTAGCGTGTACTTAATAATATTGGACTAGTTTTTCGCCTACAGCTTTGCTCATGTAGATTTTGGATTTATCTTTAGTCCTGCCTGGATAGAATTGTATTTACCCTTTGGACAGTAAACTTTCCCTTAGTAAAAGAATTAATCAAATAAATGTATTATTTAGATATTATTGTTAGCCTATTGCTAAGAATAATGTAGACATCGTAGATCGTATCATCGCTTACCATCAGGCGAGATAGTGGTCAAACGTCGGCCCATCAAATATATAAAAATGTCTTTTCATCGCTTATAATATGAAAATGATGTTTGTTCATCACTATTGTATACTTAGATGACAGTTCTTTCTTCGGTTCTTCTATCCTTTTGCTATCGTTCGGAATTGTCTCTACAGAATGAGACAGAAAACTGGAGTTGACCCAACGGTTCGTTTGTATATGTCGTAGGATAATTTGATACTTCGAATCTTCGCGGAAATCCTAGGGGTTTTGCGAAAACGCGGATAATTAGACATAGGCGAAAAATTATCAAATCTTACTGGACAAAGTCAGGATTTTTGCGAAAATACTCGTTATATAGTTATATATAAGAAGTCAGCCAGCAAAATTGTAGCCAATCAGTGTTGAGCACATCAAATCTTACTATAGTAACGAGTATTTTCGCAAAAATCCTGACTTTGTCCAGTAAGATTTGATAATTTTTCGCCTATGTCTAATTATCCGCGTTTTCGCAAAACCCCTAGGATTTCCGCGAAGATTCGAAGTATCAAATTATCCTACGACATATACATCTTGAGCTAAATATAGTATTAAATATTACATATTAAATTTCGTAATCCAAGTTCAATGATACTGACAAAGTTACCAATGACCTCAAATATAAATGGCGTAAAAGTTTTCGATAATATTAAATTACAAACATATTGGCCAATAAAAGATTCGGAACACAAGTTCCCAAAATTTTTGTAAGAAAGAAGATATGTGCATGGAATAAACAATTTAAGCGATATTCTGGACCCACGACTTAAGAACCAGAATGCCATTTAATTTTTTTAAGGTTGGCATTATACTATCTTTTGACTGTGGCTTTGCGTATGAATTTCGGGAAATAATCTCTATGTGACGACAAAAAGGAGCTTAATCGCTTACCATCAGGTGAGATGGAGGCTAAACGCCATCCTATTAAACATATTCCAAAAAAAAAAATCAACCTGAAAAGGCTGTCAAACGCACTTATTACTAATTCTGTAACTACTCCTTGTAACGTAAAGTTGGGTGTTTGGGCCCTACCCAGTAAAAAATGCTTCACTGCATATCCAAAGAAAATGTCAGCCACTCAATCATCAGAATTTTTTTTTCCATATTTTGTTATTTTCCTTCATTCAATCTCAGAACGACTTAAATGCTAAAATCAACAGATATACAATCTCACACCACCCCTAGGCTGAGACTATGGAATGCCAATTGCTACGATTCTTACATAGGTACCTCTTTCGCTTCCTCAATAGTCAACTTTTCTCATGTATGCAAAATCATTAAAATCTTTAAGAAAACGCGGTAGACAAATAGACACACCGACTTGTTTTTGAATGTATATGGTAAGTTTAGTGCAGTTTATGAATATGAAACAAGAGTTCGTAATTAATCAATTGAAAACTTGTTTCGTCTCTTTAAGTAACACAAGAATATGAACAAACGGGACAGAAGATAATATCTGTAAGATACATGCGATGTGAGAAAGATAATCTTACGTGGTCTGCTTTAGATAAATACGTATCGCGTCCTGGCTTGAATGTTAGTGTTGATTTGATAGCGGGAGAGATCAGGCGGTGAGTACTGTGTTTTTTTTTGTATTATTCTGTGGTAGCGGTATGACATTGCCTCGATAGCCGAGTGTTCGCAAATGCGACTGCCGGGCAAGGAGTCTCGGGTTTGAATTCCGGGTCATGCAAAGTATTTTTTTAATTCTCAGTAGTAGCACGGACTCTGGAATTGTGTCCGGTATATGGCAATAGGCTCACCCCCCATTACATGGGACTCAAAAAATAAATAGTGAAAACTGGGTGTTACATTATACAGTGGTATTTGAGTGCCGTAATCTGATAAAATGCGTGATGTTAGTGTAGATAGTGTATGGTAAAAACTAAATCGAGGATCTGGTCCAGATCCTCAAAGTCTTTGGTCTGGATCTGATTAGATCTCTTTATCCTAAAATCCTAATAAAGAAATAACTGATTTTATTATTTTATCCAGCTCGACGTGCAGGAGAAGGAACGGGGTGGTTTTTAGTCAGTAAGAGTCTGACACTCCCACCCGACTCACGTAGGCGGGAGCAGTCATTCCAATATTTTCTCCCCTTAAAAAAAACTTACAATAAATTTTCGTACTATCGTAATTGTACATATTTATTGCGGCCATATAAAGACACAAAATAAATTGTTACTGTCAGTGATTCTGTAGTATCGGAGTTATTCTATATATATTATTCTGTGGTATAGGTACAGATATAGTTTATTTTGGTACATAAAGGCTAAATGAAGAGCTCGAAGAGGTTACAAT